AGAATATACTGGCATGAGGACCAATATCTTGTCACAGATCAAAATATATGGGTACAGGAATCGATAGGTATCACAATAGGGAATCCGGTAAGTGCAGCTTGTAAATAGACAGCAACTTAGCATTAAGATAATCCACATTATCAAGATAATCTCGGGGCAGACGTGCAGCTGCCGGGATTTTATCGTAGTTGATTTGTGCGTGCGTAAATGATAATGAACCTTAATCTGTCAGTACCTTGACCAGGTTGCAAATGCTATTGTCAGCTATCGACTACACATCACCTATACTTTGCTTTTCCATGAACGTACCATGCATGTTCCACTTTACCCTTCTCTTTCAATTCCGTATCAGGGGCGGTGGGGTAGCCTAGTGGTTAAAGCGTTCGCTCGTCACGTTTAAGAAGCTGGTTCTTTTCCCCACATGGTACAGCGCATGAATCCCATTTCTGGTGTCCCCTGCCGTGATATTGTCGGAATAGTGCTAAACCTCACTTACTCAGTCCCGTATAAACGACACATTTACGTGTGCATTGGCCTGTTAACTCGGTTCCTTGTCAATGTAGAAATGTTAGTCAATGTAGTAACAGTAATTGAAGAAACGGTATAAATTCCCCAATACGTCCTCATTAAAATTCAAAGACATACCGCTGACATTGACAACCATTTTCTCATGGAAGCTGTCTGAGGTTAAGTAAAGTGCTTCCCATACAGTAATGTAGTAGGTGGTCGGTCCGTCCTGGTGGTCAGTGTGGGTCCAGAACAAAGTCACACTGGTCGAGCTGTTGACTGAGGCACAGAACTTCTCTGGCGTTGATGGAACTACAGAAACACAATGTTAACAGTAACAAGTTCGGTAAGCTTGGACAAAATACATTCGTTGGCGCTGACATTAATTGCAATTTTCAGGTTGATATTTCTACTGTGCCTTGACATTCTTACTGATTCTGCGAATTACGATGAAAGCGTGATCAACAAGATATTTGATTAGTATATGGGAGACTGCGTAGTTTCAATTACCCCAGAGTTTCATGAATACCACCTTTTATCATTTCAAGAAGAGTCAGTATAAAACGGATTCTGAAAAGACCATATTCTGTATCATAACCATATTCGTGTGGTTATGATACAGGGATTAAAATTCAAATATTCTCCATGGTCTGTTTGATATTTCCACTGATAATGCTAAGTTTTGATGAACCAACAATTAAAGTGCTTTCACATTTCTAGTGCTTCTTCGAATTATGATGAACCAGCAATTAGCTATTTTATCTGACGGTTTCACGAAATATAATACATTCAGGTCAGCCTATGACTTTTGCATGTGAGTCTATCCCTGCTAGGTTAGAATATTTTGCTCCCAACACTGATCAGTATTGTCAACAAAAATATTTATTCGTAGCACATTCTTATGTAACAAGTACAAAATATACACATTGTAAAATGCTCTGGAAAAATAAACTATTTTAATATGTCTTGTCTCATTTACCTGTTTTGGGTCAATTCATAACACCTTAAACAATACAATTGTCTGTGAAAAGGTTTACATTTTCATAAGTCCATGATTTGTTTATAGTCACCACTGGGTCATGGGTCGAAAGTAGTTCCTATGCAAATTAGCCAAATCTTAATGAGGTCAGGTCTGCTGTCTTGTCCTTTGTTTTCATTGGCTGAAGATGTGCAGCATCTTAACTGGATGTTGAATTTAGTTGCATTTGGAAAGTGTGAAGTTTGTTCACTTGCTATCTTTCTCCCAACCTAGCAAGGTGGTCGGATGGAGGATTGTGACTGTGGTTAGTTACACTTGGTTTTATATAAAAGGAATAAAATACAAAAATATGTTAAATTGTTTAAAGGTTAATTCAGTATTTATTGTAGCTGAATTTATGCATTTGGTGGAAGTATATTTTGACTTAGGGTTAGAAGTTGTTAGTGTCAATATTTTCGCTAACCATTGATTCAGATTAATGTTTGAGTCCAAACAGATTGTACGTTTACTTTACTGGTGAGAATTAGCATGTCTATGCTAATTAAGGCATACATATTTTAGGCCCTTGGTTGGTGTTTTGTTGGTGCCTCACATGTGGCCAGTTTGAAACAAGTTATCCCATAGATAGTAAGAAACGTTGATGTTTCATTGTTGTTTTGAAGATGCCATATGTGTTCTATAATACCTAAGGATCTCAATGTGAAACTCAACCATTAATTTTGTAATGGCTATTTGTTTTGAGTTCTTTTCATATGTTCAGTGGTATTACTGCAATTGTTAATTGTCTGAACAATGTGCAATGAAATGAATGTGATAAAATAGGTATTTTGGTGGGGGAAATATATTACAAACAGAAACTACAGTAATAAATCCGGACTACAGCCTCAACGGAGTTGTTGAGAAATAGCCATCCCCGTTACACCTATACATGTTAAATCAGAAACACCTTTTTGCAAAATATAGATTTTTTATTTAAATGAGTTTGTGAAGTCTATATCTACATTAACTGAAAAGAAGCTTTCTAATGTATATAAAAGGACAACCCAAGATCATACTCTCAAAACCACTAGTACACATGCTCGAGTTCTCTGCAAATAGAAGCCTCGTTTGACAAATAAGAATAGGTCTAATTCACAGCAAGGATTGAAATACCACTAACATCATCACCCTTACCAGCCATGTTCGTTTGAACAGTAGTGTTCCTTTCTTCCACTGTTCCATTTATGTTGACACAAGATATAACTATTGTATAGTCGGTGTAGGAATGCAAGGCTGTGATATTGTGGTCGTGTTGCCCATTTCCATCTCCGTTGTCAACAGCAGAACTCTTATTGTTCGACTTGTTAACTGCCTTACAGCCGTGCTTCTTCTGTAACTTTATATAACACATATATCCAAATGTAAAGGTTTTGCTTACATGTAAGACAGTAACATTTGTAGCCAATTTGACTTCCGTCTAGTATGAGAATAGGGGGCACTATAAGTGCTTTGAAGTAATCAACATGCAGCTTTACTTGCCTGCTTCCTCTGTAACATCGAAACATACATATATCCACAGACAGGATTGTTGTAATTTTACTGATACTGTATGGTATTTTAGGCTTTTGCTCAAGCCTTTAGAAGAGTATCTTATCACTATACTCACACCTACCTCAGCCTGTTCACACGTTACAGTTATAACTTGGTCATCGTTGTCGTCTGATGTAACGGTTATCTGATAGCAAAGGGTGTTGCCGTTTGGAAGTAAGGGCCTGGTCCACTGTATCATGATGGAATCTGCTGTTGTATCCAATACATCCAAACTAGCCACGGGACCGGACTCTGCGTAAACAAACATTTTCATGCTATATGTTGATAAGACTCCATAGACAGAATAATTCATGATCATGTTGAGAAGTTCTACGTTTTATGACACGTGGGCACATTTAAATATCAGTTGACTTTTCCCTTAGGAAATAATGATCACATTAGATATAAATGCTTAGACGTGACATCCGAGGTCAGGAACAGTTTGATGTACCTCCAGTGTGTGTGGTATAACTCGTGGTAGAAGTATTTCCACCGTGTGTGTTGAATGCTTGTACCTGTAATCAAATCACGTCAAGTTTATCTCTAAACTTGTGATGAAGAAGTTAAGGGGAACGACATGTACACAATTACCATATTGTGATGCACACTTTTTTTTGTTCCAGATAATGTCAGATGCAAGTCTATGATTATAAAGTACAATTGTTCCAAAAGTACCTTTCAGTTCAACTAGTGGTGTCCTAATATACTGTCATCAGTGAATATGTTTGCTTGAGCAATCTACATTTTATGTGAGTGTAAATAGATCAAAGTTAACATTGATTATTCACATAAGCATGTGCAAAGATGAGTCTTCAGTGGATATAAAAATAGTACGCGTTTGCACATCTTATGTGAACAGTTTGCCCTCACTCACCGAAAACATGTAGTTTACTTGAGCTGTCAGGTTCAGCAGAAATATTTAATCCTTGGGGATTTTCTGTTACGTTTGTTGTATATTTCTCCTGTCAAGAAACGAACAAAGAAAAACCTGTGAGTAGTTAAAGTTGGACTCAAAATTAGCTGGAATGTTTAAATACTTGGGGAATGTGTACCATGCTGTTGTTATATTTCTCCTCTGAGTAGAACAGCAAAATAATAACTCATAAAGCAAATAATTCAACACTTAAAAGTCATTTCATTCATAACATGTTATGTGTGACATGTTCAATCCTTGGTAATTAATCAAACCAAATAATGCCAGCATACAATGTTCAATGCACACGTACTCACTATCCGTTTCGTTCTTGCGTTTTTGTCGGATGTGTGACAACGCATTATCCGTACAGTTTGAATCCATCAATTGTTAAACTGGTCTTTTGACCAGTAAGCTTCTAACAATCCTAACTGCAGGGCACATAAGAGTATACACATGTTTGATGGAGGTGAAAGTAAACAAACAAGATGAGTCAAGTAGTTGTCTTTTGGACCTTACTTGTGCAGTGTTTTGGCAACTGTTTTCACGTTTAATGTTTTGATTTTGATTAAAATGGTATGTAGTCCTCTTGTCAACTCCACTAATGAAGTGTATACATTCTTTTGTGCGTCATGGTATTATTTTCATCATTCGGATTGAAAGCATTCTTGTATACTCTTTCATTACATGTACCACTCTTCACTCAAAAGCAGAGCGGTGGGGTAGCCAAGTGGTTAAAGCGTTCGCTTATCGTGCCGAAGACCCGGGTTCGATCCCCCACATTGGTTTATTGTGTGGAGCCCATTTCTGGTGTCCCGTCGTGATATTGCTGGAATATTGCCAAAAACGGCGTAAAACCATACTCACTCACTCTAAAGCATAATAATTGTTAATGTTTTTTGTACGTATTTTTAGATGATAATATCAGTGATTAGACATAATGTTCGACTTTTAATCATTATTGCCTTCTTGCAAGCCGTATCCCAGACAATTCGATGAATCTAGTAGTACATGTTGCGCTTCATTTTCTAGGTAATACAAGTCTACCTACAGTGGAAAAATGCCACCCAACCGACTCCAAAGTTGCAGCTGGTCTGGTTTGACCGAGTTACAATTCCAGCCACTGGTAGTGTTAAGATTAATTTCACCGTCTCTGCCGAAAGTATGGCGATTTGGATGGACAACAAAGGCTGGGAGGTGGAAGAGGGTCAGTGGTTTCGAGAATATTGATTTGAATGAGAAACGAGTGAGTGAGTGAGTATGGTTCTACGCCGCTTTTAGCAATTTTCCAGCAATATCACGGCACCTGAAATGGGCTTCACACATTGTACCCATGTTGGAAATGGAACCTGGATCTTCGGCGTGACGAGTGGACGCCTTAAATCGCAAGGCTACACCACCGCCCTTGAGAAATGAAATATTCAAAGTAATAAGTAGTATTTTGTCACCAATAATTAAATAATATCGACTTGGGGAACGAAAGGGGAAGGGTTTGTCCGCTGAGGTGAAGATGCAAATCGTTTTACGGAGCTGCTTCCCTTAGGCATGGCAGGAACCAGCTGCTTATGACCATGGGCTCGACATCGAGATTCACTGTCGTTATGTTTCTAGCTTTGTCAGCACCACGCCATTCCAGCGACCCGTGAAGATCCAGGTAGGAATTGATCTTCAGTAACCCATACTTGTCAACAGGCGACTAGCTGTATGGGGCGGTCAAGCCCGCTGACTTGGTTGACACATGTCATCGTATCCCAATTGCATAGATCTTTGCTCATGCTGGTGATCACTGGATTGTCTGGTCCAGATTCGATTATTTACAGACCGCCGCCATGTAGCTGGAATATTACTGAGTGCGGTGTTAAACAACATCCAAGCCAAACCAATTCAATCTTATTTAAAATACCCTGTCTTGTTTCCAGGGGAGATGATGCTTTTCGTCGGGGGCCAGCAGCCAAATCAGAAGAAAAAGGCAGCTACCACAGATTTTATAAGCAATGACTTCAGGATTGGCGGAACAAAATTTCTAGGACGGTTTTAATGCTCGGTTTGATGACTGGGTTTTTGGGTGCGCCGATTCAACTAATCCTTGTTACGGAGATGGAATGAGCAACAATCCCAATTCTTTGACATTTTGTTATATACCGTTCCATAACAAGATGACAATATTGTAATGTTATTTATGAATGAAATTGAATGCTCGCCTATTTTTTTAATCTATTTTTGAATAGAACAAACTTGTTTGGTAATTGACATGCCAAGATGTGTATAGGGCCAGTAAGTCTTGCAAGGTGCTACGGTTCCCAACGCCAACTTGCGGTACCTTAGACTGCGTGCAGCTTCTTCCGGTACCAGATTTCCGATGACAAGCGTATATTCAGGAACCGCCAAATCTGACTTTACTAGACCAGACCAAGTGTACAAACATGCTTGGCTATTACAACTGTTGACAGTCATAATAGGTGGCTAATTTGAGAATGGTTAGATCGGAAATTTGTTACACATGCAAGGATTATCGGTTTCTTAGTGTCAACTGAGACCATTCGCAAAGGTATAAAACGTTGCTAGTCACCGGAAGTACTAAGGTCTCGCGAAGTGCGGTGACCTACTTATGGGCCCTATGTCCTGAAAAATGAAAAGAGTAAAATATTTTACAACGAGGCAGCACATGGGCAGGTTGCCCATGAACCTATGGTCGATTGAACATTTGATCAGATCTTGAACACTATGTATTGGTCAGGATTTGTTAGACAAATCACTCGCTTTGACAATCTAGTCATGAAAAGATGTGCTTATAGAAAATTTTGTTGAAACACAAATTGCATAAATTATTATAGAAAAAAGTACTGTATTTTGTCGATAGCGTACATATGATTGGAACTTATTTCTTTCTTTCAGTTTCTACGTAGTCGCTATGGAAGATTCAATGAAGAGGCAAAATATTACTATTTTTAATAGCCATTGTGGATAAAACAGACATTTCCAATAATGATTATGAACGATCGACTATACACGTTATAAAATTCAAATGCACAAGCTTACAGGTGCTAATCAAAAGCACGGCTTTCAACACATATGAGACCCGAGAAAATCAGGCTTAAATTGGATCTTCAGTAACGCATGCTTGTCGTAAGGGGCGACTAACAGGATCGGGTGTTCAGGCTCGCTGACTTGGTTGACACATGTCATCGTATCCACATTGCGTGTATCGATGCCCCTGCTGTTAATCACTGGATTGTCTGGTCCAGACTCGATTATTTACAGACCGCCGCCATATAGTTGGAATATAGCTCACTCAACAGATTAGAAATATAGATGACTGTACCAAGATGTTACTCGCTCCCCCACAATGTACAAAATGTACTTTTGTAACGAGTGGAAATATAGCATATAGCCAAATATAATATTTTGACTGTCTTTTGTCATTAACACATTCAAAATTACGTGACGTTATATCTCGGAATATTGGAAAACGAGAGAACACTGTAAAATGAATATACGATATCAAATGTTCCCAAACCGCCCAAAATAACCTTCGTGTTAGCGCAATATGATGAGAATAACTGAAAAAAACCTTAACATTACTTAATTGTTAAGGTTCTTGAGAGGGCTATAGAGTTGGTATTCAAGTATAAGACAAAATATTATGGATGTCAACTTCTTTATTGTATACAAAACGTTTTTGGGCTTTTCCTTGCCCCTTCGTCACCTGACCATTGTGTAGACACTAAAGTAGTGCTTTAAGCACCCTTGTTTGCCTAAATGCCTGTGTTGGCGGGTTCTGTTATTCGTGTGGTAATATCGTTGCACTGCATGGTATTCTTTATGAGTGTTGGCTCCAGCAATATTCTTTCATCAAATTCAACCACGACCTATGAATGTCGGTGAACCATATCAACCAGATATCCAAGCAAGGCGGTAGGCGTTTCCTTCACATGCAGTTAATAGAAGCATCTAAGGCATCGAAACAAAGTTAAAGGCACTTCTCGCGTCCCATACGAAAACCATAACATAAAATGTTTTCAATTGGGTAAAAGCAATAATTTTATTCGACATAAATGAATATATTCAATGCAATACATATGCTAGTGATGTACTTGTTCTGGTATTGTAAAAGAATTTATTGTTAATACACACACGGAATATTATGTACATTTCATTGGAGCAAAGTAATCAATACCAAAGCATTAAACAGACCAATTTCACACCAATTAATTATTACATACCCTCATATGATGTCTAAAAACACATTTTCATTATCATAAGAAAAAATATACATCTCGTTAATGTACAATATATTTAGACTATGTAACGCTAATTTGTTTAAGCAATAATACTGTGCGGTCATGTATTGCACAATTATTCCAGGTGTTTCGGTTTGAGATAATGTTCAGATTGTTCAATTGTTCATATATGTAGCTAAAATGCAATAACATATCGATAAATGTTAAGCTCTATACTGTCTCCTATAATGTGATATGACAAAAAGTACTGGAATCATCTGTGAAACTTGACACATAACAAGCACGGAATTTGTTCGCGCAGCGATAGCTGATTGACATCACTAAATGTACCATACATATATATATATATAGTCAGGATCAGAATATTTCATGTAGTGTTCGTATCAAGCTGAGGCAAATATAGTTTAAAGCATAATACATGAGATATACATGGATAGTAATTCTTGTAGACAGAAACTCATATTCTTAGTGATTGGAGATTCAGGTAGTTTAGATTATTTGGAGACTGTCGGACGACACGAAAGAGAAATGTCAGTTTATTCTCAGATATTTCAATCAAAGAGTGGATCAAGTTCATGATGTAGTTCTCTTCTTTCCTGTTATGAACATGAACATCCCTGTTGACTTTGAGTCAGTGTTCACATCTTTGCAGCTCCGGTTTGGACATTCATGTAGATATTTTCAACGTCAGCTTCTTCGGGAACTGAAACAGAATCGATTAACATGTACAGTCATCAATTGTCGCATTAAAAGTAGACACTATATATACAATCAATCAATCGTTCACTCAATAAAGTTTTTTGTTGTTTTTTATATCTTTTTATTATTCATAGACACTTTACGTGTCTAGATTAATAACAGAAATGTGATAATTATTATAATGTCGACCATGTCAAATTATACGATATCATATTCACTAATTGTAGCAACAACTTGCAGCTGAATGCGGTTTTTCATGATAGTAATCACTCATGTTGTTTTTTGCCTGCCTTTGAAACTGTGTACGCATCTGATGGAGGTGAGGTGAAATTGGATTTAACGTCGTGCTTGAGAATATTTCGCTCATATGAAGACGTGCATGCGTGTGTATGCGGGGAGTGAGTGAGTGAGTTAATATTTAACGTCACATCGGCAATATTTCAGCCATATCGTGACGAGAACATTTTACATTGTAATGGAATATGTATATATTATAAAACCTGTCATCGAAGGACAGTAAAGCAACTAGAGTATCACAGATATATATATGTAAACTAGTAATTGAATCTAAAACATTTTAACCATAGGGGACAACACAATCTAAAAATGGGCTATAGATCGCTAACAACTGAAGGTAGATCACCATACTAGGGACCATGGGGACTTACAGTACATTTGCTTCCTGCATGGGACCTAGCTGGATTTATATCATCCCTCAGCCGTTAGCAATTAAGACATATCTAGCCATACATTAAAATTACAAATATTCTACGATTAAAAACGGAAAGTTGAAATTTACTTTGAATGTTTTGGGACTTACGTACCTCCTCAGGAGGACAATAATTTTACAGTACTTTAACCCCCTCGAGGATATAGCCACTAACAATCTATGTTACTAATTCAAACTTCCAATCATAAAATATTTAGCTATTTACAAATCTGTTAACAAATTTAATTCTTTTAAAAAGCAATAATTAAATGAGGACTTATATTAGTAAAAAGATCCTTCATAGTTCGATTTGAATAGATATCCCTTTGTGATGGAGTATTTTCAACACAGTCAAGCAAGACATGTTTGACCGTGATTCGTTCATCACAAGGATACAAAACGGAGGATCCTCACCTTTAATAGGTACTCATGCGTATATCTAGTGTGGCCAATACGACATCGTCGCATAATGACCTCTTCAAATCTGGACTGACAACCCAAGTAAGTGTAACCGATATAGGGTTTTATTGCATGTAATTTATTGATACCTACTTGGGTGTCCCACTTCTTTTGCATCAGATCACGGATATAAGATCTTATAGCAGCTTTGTAATCAGAGTATGGGATCAGAAGTGGTGTCACAGATTTGTTGAGTGCTGCCTTAGCAGCAATATCAGCCATTGTGTTCCCAGAAATGCCAACGTGGCTGGGTAACCAACAAAAGACGATGTCGCATTGGCCAGTAGCAAGTTCATTGTACAATTCAATAATTTCTAATAAAAGTGGATGTTTGCAAGAAAGATTTTTAATAGCCTGAAGACACGAAAGAGAATCTGAAAAGATGATATATTGTTTATATTTACGGTGTTTATTAATATATTTAAGAGCTGTTAAGATGGCGTTTGCTTCTGCTGTAAATATAGAGCTGTTATCCGGTATTCTAGAAGATATTGTTCGGGATCCAACGACAGTGGCACATGCCACTGCGCCACCATTCTTGGACCCATCTGTAAATAAGGATTTGTATGTAGTATATTTATTTCTTAATTGACTAAATTCTTGTTTATACTGTAATTCATTTGTTTCTGATTTTTTAAATGTAGTTAATGTTAGGTCAACTTGTGGCCTAACCAATTGCCAAGGCGGAGAAGAAAGAAAACGGGAAGGAGCTATATGTTCTAGCTCAATGCCAGCAGCAGAAAGAAAAGGTTTCACTCTTTTACCAAGAGGCGGAACAAGGGAAGGCTTCTTGTTATACAGATCTTCATATAGTGGATTAAAGACACAGTTATATGCAGGGTTTGACTCATTGGAATAAAGTTTTGTAATATACTGTAAAGTTAATTTTATACGGCGTTGTGTAAGAGATGGCTCATCAGCCTCGACGTAGAGGCTGTCAACAGGTGAAGTTCGAAAGGAACCAAGACATAGTCTTAGACCTTGGTGGTGGACAGAATCTAAAAGTTTTAGATTACTGTTGCAGGCTCCACCATAAACGATGGAGCCATAATCAAGTTTGGAACGTACCAATGATCGATATAATTGTAGGAGGGTAGCTTGATCCCCTCCCCACTTAGAATTGGAAACGACTTTCAACAAGTCAAGTGCCTTCAAACATTTAGTTTTTAGGGACTTGATATGGGGAAGAAAAGTTAGATGCGAGTCAAAAATTAAACCCAAGAACTTGGCCTCCTTTACAACTTTGATGGGAGTGCCATTGAGAAACAGTTCCGGGTCTTTATGCGGTTTATATTTTCTACACAAATGTATACAATTAGTTTTGGATTTAGAAAATTTGAAGCCGTTTTCAAGACACCATTTATGTATTTTATTTAAACACAGCTGCATTTGCCGTTCAATAGTATGCATATTCCTACCGCGACAAGAAATATTAAAATCATCCACAAAAAGTGATCCATCAATTGAATCGTTTAAAACCTTTGATAAACTGTTAATCTTGATGCTTAACAGTGTTACAGACAAAATACTGCCTTGCGGGACTCCCTGATCCTGATTATAATGGTCAGACAGGGTTGAACCCACTCGGACTTGAAATTGCCTGTTATTTAAAAAGTTGGATATAAAGTGAGGCAAACGGCTTCGTAATCCAAAGTCATGTAAATCTTTTAAAATCCCATGTTTCCATGTTGTGTCGTATGCTTTTTCTAAATCGAAAAAGATCGACACGGCATGTTGTTTATTAATTATGGCATTTTTCACAAAAGATTCTAAGCGCACTAAATGATCGATGGTACTACGGTTTGTACGGAAACCACATTGTATATTAGTTAGAAGGTTATTAGTTTCCAAGTACCAAACAAGTCGATTATTTATCATGCGTTCCATGGTCTTGCAAACACAGCTAGTTAATGAAATTGGCCTATAATTGGAAGGATCAGTATGATCACGTCCTGGTTTAGGGATGGGCACAATTATAGCATCGCGCCACGACGAAGGAAATTGTCCAGATGTCCAAATATCATCAAAAATAGATAGGAGTGTCTCTAAACATGATTCAGGCAAGTGCTTCAGGAGTTGATCTGACAGACAGGATGTTTTCTTGAACCTCACCAAATCCTTGGTTCTGGTAAATGTTTTCCTCCTGTTCCCCCATCAGCATCTTCTTCTTCCTGTCGATCATCTCCTTGACAGCATCATAGATGAACACATACTGCTTCTGGAATCATGGAATAACGGTGCAATTATGACAATAGTCATATCCTGTTAAAAGAGACACAATCTGTTTAAATGAAAGCCCTTAATCTTGTCTTGTGTCTTGTGTTTGTATCTGAGAGAAGCAAATCTCTCACCCTTCAAAATTCCAGGTTACCAATTAAGAGTGGTTGAGTAAGTTTAGTTATACGCCGCACGGCGTGGGTCTATGAATAATGGAGTCTGGACTAGACAATCCCGTGTTTCAACATCATGAGCATCAATCTACGCAAATGGGATACGATGACATGTGTCAACCAGGTACGCGAGTCTGAAGACCTGATGCCGTTACTCGCCTTACGACAAGCATGGGTTCCTGAGGAACAAGTCTTACCCGGATCTTCACGTGCACGGTTGTACCAATTAAGAAGAAATAGGGATGTGGAGAAAGTTCACAAACATGTATGCACGAATACTGATCAGTAGATTTAAATCCTACACATCCTACTAATTAGAAGTCGTTATACTGCCACCAGCTTCAGCGTCTTGTTGATAGCGAGCTGAGTGTACTGCTCAGCGCACAGCCATTGATTGATTGATCTGCTTTAGCGAAAACCAATTGAAGGGCCTTAAAATAGCAAAGTTGATGTAAGGGAGATGACTCTTGGTTCACGTCCGCAGACAACAAATTGTGCAGAACAAGCGTGATCGGTGCAAAAGCTGGTCACGTACATATTCCGCCTAGAGAACAGTGCAGACAAATGGTAAGGATGATATTCTAGTTTTGTACATATCTGATTAATGTAATGTAATGTATCACGACATTTTTAATGCAGGCTGTGAACGCTTGAATCCGTCAATGTTTCTTGGTCCAATATCTAACCACGCCCAGGGGCAATCGTGGCTGAATAGGGCAAAATGACAGGCCAGAGGCGGATACAGGAATTTGAAAATGGGATGTTCTCTTAATATGATGCCAGAAACCGCACTTAACATGTACATGTCAGAAATAAGTTGATATAATACCTCTGACTGGACCATGAAAGGTCGATTGTTACGCATTTTCAGTACGTATGAGAAGATGTCGACCTCGTCCTCAATGTCGCAGTTGTCGATCACTTGGATAAAGTAGTCCACGCATAAGTACGTCCCGGTCCTACCGACCCCAGCGCTGTGGTACAAATATATATATATGATTATTTCTTTGCAGTATTAAACAGAAACTATTGACATTAGGTCTTGTATATTCACCAGATGATTTGGGTGATGCATGATGCAAATGAATTACATTTGCAAACGTAACAGGAAAAGGAAATTATTTAAGGAGTGATCATGCGTGTTCTGATCTGAATCTCTGGAGACTGGGGCAATATGGATTTCATGTTAGATTTTATGAACCATTTTTATATCTATTTTCTCAGGAGTAAATTTAGTGATACGTCCAAATTAACCTTTCCAATGCTAGAATTGATATTGTCATGACCATGTTTATCTGTGTCCAAACAACAGTTAAATTGTTAACCTTGAAATACATTACTGTAGCCTGTTTTTTATATTAGTATTGTCCAAATAGCGCTATTAGTTTTAACTTAACATGCTAGTTTAAATTCTAACTGAGATAGTCTAGTTGGTTTACTGTACTTTGACGACAGCTTTATAATATTCACATATTCATTATCAACGAGAAATTTGTTCTCGTTAGGATATGGCTGAAACATTGTCGTCGGATGTGACGTTAACCACTCACTCACTCATTCACTCACTCACTCACTCACTCACTCACTGAAATATATTTTCTGACCTGGATGCTCTCTAAATCCGAGCCCTGCATCCATTCAGGAATATTAATTCTGACCTGCAGTGGACCAGCATCGGTCCCTCGTCTGTCGGCTTCAGCTCTGCACGGACATAACGTGCGAAGTCGATGACGTCGCCTTCATTGAGGTTGGCGTTGTAGTCGTGCCACCCCGGCAAGAAGAAGTGTTTCACTTTCCGCGTTTCGTTGCCCTGTAAAAGTTGAAAATTTACTTCAAGAGCTTGAATACTGAAAAATTTAACAACGGCCCATATTCCTTGATCAACTTGAGCAGAATCTGTTGATAAACAGTTAACTGACATAACCCAGCATCATATCAAATTAAAAGTTGATGTCATATACATCTGAAAACATGCAAAAAGTAATGAACTTTGTAATACAAAATTATCCTTCATTTACGATACAACCCATGTTCAAAATATAACTCGTTATGAATTCTGATAAAACAACAATGGAGCTTCTTCATTTCTTTTCCTGATTCGAAAGGGGCGGCGGGGCAGCCTAGTGGTTACGCCGAAACCCGGGTTCGATTCTCCACATGGGTACAATGTGTGAAGCCCATGTCTGGTGTCCCCCACCGTGATATTTGTGGAATATTGCTAAAAGCGGCGTAACCCTAAACTCGCTCACTCACTCCTGATTCGAATTATCCGGAAAGGCAATTGAGATATACATTTCTACCAAAGGACCACCTATAAAATGTTGCCATCACAGGTTACTATGGTACTGTAGTAACGAATATACTATTGGTATTACATAGCACAATCACAAGTTCAAGCTTAGGTGGAAACAGCTCCACGTTCCAGTCTACAGGATGACAACATAATGATGACAACAATGATGCAGGTTCGAGGTTAGATGGGTGAGAATGTCTTTTCACAATACTGTCACGGGTGTTGGTTGCAGGGGCTACGAGCCTTTTATGTGACACTGTTGAAGGGTTTTTACTACAAGGCTAACAAACGATGTATGTGACACTTTCGCTGGTTCGAGGTTAGACAACATAATCCCTAGTTCCCTGTTATACGTCAACTGAGAGGTATTTAATATCTTAAGGTTCTTCACTGATGGCGTAACAAGCGGTGTATATAAGTATTATATAACTATATTATTATGTAACTCTTTCCTTAGTGTAGGTTAATTGTCAAATGTGTGACAAGCTATATTTGCAACACTATTATCGGTTCGTGTTTACAAGGGGTAAGAAGCAGTCAACATAACACTGTCCTATGTTTCAGGTTGGATGGTTGGCAATACATGTTCACATTTCACCACTTTGGAAATGGCATTGTGTAATCATAGCTTTCGCCCGTGGGAGCCTTGTCAATTTACACATCAGAGTGGTACACAAAGTCCGCAGTCCAGACTACCAGTCGCGGTGGCTGAGCGGGTTAGGCGGTTGACTTTGTGTGCTGGCGATTAGGTGCCTGACTCTGAGGGTGTGAGTTCGAATCCCGGATGGGAAAGTTGTAGAATCTGTACTTTACTAAAAAAGTGTAATCCCAAATATAACATATGTTATATGTTCACAATAGCTTCCGTTGTTAAGTGGTGCTGAAGTGGGTATAGGAACCTATTCAAGTTTCAGAACTGTACGGGTAACAAGTGATGTGTATAACCTTCTCTGTATGTTTGTGTGCATGCATGCGTGTGAACTTTTGTGTGCATGTGTGTGTAACGGGTGAAGTGCAACACGTCTGATTAGGTTCTACACTCTGTGAGTGTGGGTTCTATTTCCGGATGGGGCCCAAATTACGTACTAGAATCCGTACTTAAAGTGTAATCCCAAATACGTCATGTAATGAAACTGTTTCAACTTACCAACGAGAGCTTGAAGATCATGATGGTGTACTTGCTGAGAGGCGACATGTTGATCAGTTCAACGACCAGATCTCCATACTGACGCGGAGCGTTCATTTCTTCGGGCCAGTACATATCCAACTTCCTCTACACAAAGACAACATACCGATTGTCAACATGCTCTCAATTAATGAACAATGTTAATTTGTTGTTCATGAGATACTGGCACCATTATGGAATAACATTACCCATAGGTGATATTATTGCAGCTATTTGTCTGATCATTATAATTGAGTCATGATGTTTGCCCATTTCATTACTATTCGTTTCTCTGAAACCTCAGTAGTCAACGCATTGTTGTAAATTATTTTTTTCCAAACGTTGATTGTTTCTGCAACAGGCTGACTGGGCTCATGTCGCCACTTGAGACTCATATTTACTCAACTGTTTCAAAGGAAGAATATTATGGGTAATGTAATATATACATTTCAGTATCGTGTATTATCTTCGTTAGTAATATGCAATGTTTCTCGCCAGTGATGGGGACTGACAGTAACTCAATACGAACAGAAAACCAGTAGTTCCTCGTAGCAGGTTGTAATTATGTATGGACTCATGTAAACCAAGTCTAGAGGTACACACCACTCCGTTCTCCTCCAGTCCAGTCAGCATGACTATAATGGGGACCTTCTGTTCCCAGATCATCCTCCAGAAGTCCACAGTGGTTTGTGACAAGGGTCCCTGCGAGGCGATGTACTCACGGGGGGAAGTGTAGCCCTGTGAACATACGTTAATACTATAATATTCAACATTGTCTTCTATTATGCCTATGTTTCTACCGGGAGGGATACTTGTTAGGAAATGTTGCAGTAGAAGTGTGACTCTTTGCTTTCAGGAATCCATGAATCTACGTTATACAAAGATTAGATCCTTGCATTGACGGAATATGTACCTGCTACTACCGCTTCATATATCATATGTCACTTATTATCATTTTGGTATCAGTGTTTTGTGCTTTTTGGGGTTATTTTCATCACTGCAGGATTAAAGCTATATGACGTGTCTTGACAATATACTTAGTGTTTTATCAGACCACTTTCAAAGTCACCGATCCTTTAAACCATCCGTTTTGTTTAATTGTGTTTCCCATCTCCAACCTCCGCCAGTATAAGAACAAACGGGCGAAAAAATACAAATATATACAAAAAAAACATATGTAAACCTTTTCACTAACTGTGTTAAAAAATAATATTAGATCAGACGTAGTAGTCTGGAGATCCAGTCGCTTGGATTCGGAAACAATTTCTAAATAATAGTTGATGAAAACTCAAGCTGACATGTTGTCATAAACGTACACATTACATCATGGCATACATTTTAGAGTGTTCGAGAAAGAAGAAAACGTTTTCTTATTAATTTCACGTCGGTATGACAATTCAAGGCAGGTGGGGCATGTTGAAAATAAACAACACGGACAGCCTTAACTGTGGTCAATTTGAACCCAGAGTCCCCACGTGGTACCCATTTTTGGTAATCTTAAAGATAGGTCAATGTACGTACAGGGATATAGTTGGCGTTGATGTAGTCAGAACATTCATCCTCGTCAAGGGGCAACAGCTTGACCCGTGAGTGGTCATCTACAACATGAAATCTGAGAAATTATTTAATCACTTTGTCATCGATAAGACAATTGTACTGGCTCAGGAAACTATGCTGTAAGTGTCAGTGACAGCCAACTATAAACAAAGTGCTGATTTGAACGGTTGTCAACAGCGACGACAGGATCGTTCCAAAAGAAGTTTATAAAATAATTCTTGGTTGTCTGCCCTTGCTTTGTAAATGTTCATGTATGGCCGGCTCATCATTAGAGAAGTTGTTTGTGGGAATGTTTCTGGCTGGCCTGCAGTGACCATTTCAGATCAGCATAAGAGAGATTCCATGTGTTTTTGAGCTGACTGGTTTCTAATCTAGTTTCCAATTGCGATTTGGGGGCATCGAGTTTTAACCACATTCCAAAACTATCTTGAACTGTGACATTATAGTGTGACAACTTTCGTCACTGGACCTACATTATTCTAGTTCGTGTTAACTATTGCTAATTTGTTAATGGTTTTTTTTCCAATAATATTATTACATTAGTCTAGTTGAGTGTGAAAAGAAAACCCGGGAGATAGAGGTATTCGACATATTTTTCACTTTGGGAGACACAAAGATAATATGCTGAAAACCTAGAACCACAATAAGAGCTATCAAGGACTTGAACCCTCGACCATACACTGTTGCTGTCGAGCTGACAAACCGAATACGTGATAGACGTGCGTTTAATCTGATATTGTAAACCAAAGGTCACTGTGTTCTTTAATCTGATTGTCTAAAACACATGATGGTATTCGATTCCCTGAAATGGCTATTCGCTGCGTATTAATACGTACAAATATTGCGCACAATTGTATCGTTGTGTCGTCAACAGTGGTGACGTCATTCAAATCATATTGTTAAGTAAAGTCGGAATGACGTCACATATGAACAGTTCCAGATGTTACAATGGAAACCAGCTGAAACGGCCGGTTGATGACACTTCACTGCTCTACCCGTACTCGATGTCAATGAGTGCAGACAGAAAAACGCGTGTGGACGTTTTGGTTTACTTTTGTTTTTACAATGTCGATAAACATCATGTGTTCGCAAATTTCCGGGTGTTATTGAGGACTTGAAGCACGGGAATATTTCATTTGAAGCCTCAGGCTAACGCCATGCTTTAAATTCTCAGTAACACCCGGAAACTGGCCATCGGAGGTTTCAAATGAAATATCCCCTGATTCAAATACTCAATACCTGGAAACTGGCCGACTCATGATGTTGACCTCCTAATTCGAGCTTCATGTAGCTGATACGTATTGTTTTATGCGGCTTATGGGAAACGTTTCGTAAAATCAGGGCAGGGAACTCGAGAAATGGGCTTGTGGTGTGTTGACGTGTAGACTTCATAGGTCTAGGTCATCACATCACCAACACAACAGAATCCTGATATGAATAACGTACGTAAGATGATAATTTACAAGCACCTCATACGACATGCAACCCTATCTGTTCGTGTGAGTAATTTTCAGGATATGTTGTTCACGGAATGTTATTATTGTAACACAATCAAATCACAAGCGATGAAGGCATTGTTAACTGGAATCTATAATCGTTAAGTAAAAAAAAATTGATAGCATTGTATAATTGCCGTTCAGCACAATGTGCTATGTATATTTACCAGGCAGTGTACCTTTGGTAGAAATAATGTAATTCATGTAGCATTCTGACGAGATGAAGAATAAAGAACTCGTGATACACTGAGAACCCTTTCTTCTAACAGTTATGTTCCGCTTATGATATCTACTTACACCCCATAATGTTGACGTATCGGTTCTTGGATCTGTTGCCGACCAGCACTGCATGCTCGGCCGGATGCTTCACTGTGGCAGCGGCGAGTTGCTACAACAGAACACGACACACACAGCATGAGGATGCTATGTCAGAAACATCTGCGGTATTTGCTGCTATATCTGATCTATCTATATCTGATACGAGAACAGTGACACGATTATACACATGTGGAACTGTTATTTTAACCGTGGATGTTTCTTAGTTTGGAAAAGAAGTCACTTTCCCTTTTTATAAGTCTGCCTCAAAGGGAGACAACTGTTGAGGTAGCAGGACCAAGTTTATGAGTAAGCCTTGTACATGTATATAGATTTTTTAGCAATCAGCAAAATTAACATGACTTGTACGACGAACATTGTACCCGAATATCACACTCGCAATGGGCACGATTTACTGGTGGCTCTAACCTGCCAGTCTAATATAATCACGTCACTATAACTCTTGAATAGATATTTTAAAGGTTACATTACCTTCCATTCTGAGGTAAAGAGTAGCTTGGAATCCTTGTATAAGTCCTTCACAATCTCGTGGAAATCCGTGATCTTTCTCGGCCTGGTGAGAAATAACAATATATATCATACATAAAAATGACATCAACACAATTAAAAAAAAACACTCTTAGTAGAAATGATTGAAAGATGTAACAGTAACACAAGACGAACCTGTAGATTCGCTCTGTATAGCAGGTGATTCATCAGCAAACAGTTTTATTGCTTATTTACAAAACGACATATATGTGCAAGGAGACAAAACTTATAATTGACAGTGCTTGAAATCAATTCTTGTACATATGTCATTTACAGGTTTTATCCAAAATAACATGGATTAGATAACGTATAAAATCGAATTGGTATTGGTCTATGTAGGACAGGTCACGGGATCTGGAAATTTTAAGTCGCAGTATGTATGTTTGGGAGCATGCTGCGGGGAAGGTATGTCAGAATCTTACTTCAGTATGAATATTCTCCGGTTGTACATTAATATATCCACGAGGCGAGTGTAGGTTGTCCTGCTCTTAGATGATATTGCTGTGTCTTACACAGGTACACTAAGCATCTCTCTGAAATGCCGAGCCAAGCGTTTGGCTCCGGTTCAGTCCACGCAAACTGACAGTGGCTTTTCGCCAGGGCCGATGTTGGTTTAGGGCACGGGAGTGCGGCAGTTCCACACCTCAACCGCGGTAAGTTTGCCGTACAATTCCATCAACCACGCGGTCTTCTTATCACGCGTCAGTGGCCGTGTTACCGGAAGTGCTGACGATTGATGCCATCTGCCCTCTGAGCCAACAAATCGCCCCGATTTCGTTTGTGTATCTCTTACACAGCTGACACACCAGGGGGCGGAGTGTATACTGGGGTTTATGTGGATATCTACGTGTAGATGTGTTGGCCTCATTTTCTTGTACGGAATTAGTGGTGTACCTCTCATATTTGTTAACATACACGCTAGGGTCGCTGTCTGTATGTAATGAATTTGCGGTTTAGTAATTGTTTTGGTATTCATGTGACCTTGAAACAGGTATATGAAGGTTTATTGTTTTGAAAAATGCACTCAATTACAATCACACATACACACAAATAGACACACACACATACACACAATCACTCATTCATCAATCATTCATTGCATTCCTTGGTAAAAGTTTCATATTTGTTACGCGGTGTTTAAACTATATATTCAAGTTAGTATGATTTACCTGTATCAAGTATCTAAACTTACACGGTCTTATCGACACTTTCCTCGACCTCATGTTGAGACTCTTCGTCGTCGTCGTCACTCTCCTCACTCTTCCTGCAACAGCAAGAGAAATTGTCTTCATGGTTATATAAGTCATTATTGCCTTTTCTCTCCTCATGTCGCTAGAGATTAGTGTTGTATTTATTGCGTGACCCAGGATCGTATGATCATGCCCCGAATTACAACGACATGGCTGTTTAGTGTTATATTTACTGCCTGTCCAAGGATCGTGTGATCATGCCCCGAATTACAACAACATGGCTGTTTAGTGTTATATTTACTTCCTATCCAAGAATCGTGTGATCATGCACCGAATTACAACGACATGGCTGTTTAGTGTTATATTTACTTCCTATCCAAGGATCGTGTGATCATGCCCCGAATTACAACGACATGGCTGTTTAGTGTTATATTTACTTCCTATCCAAGGATCGTGTGATCATGCACCGAATTACAACGACATGGCTGTTTAGTGTTATATTTACTTCCTATCCAAGGATCGTGTTATCATGCCCCGAATGACAACGACATGGCTGTTTAGTGTTATATTTACTTCCTATCCAAGGATCGTGTGATCATGCCCCGAATTACAACGACATGGCTGTTAAGTGTTATATTTACTTCCTATCCAAGGATCGTGTTATCATGCCCCGAATGACAACGACATGGCTGTTTAGTGTTATATTTACTTCCTATCAAAGGATCGTGTGATCATGCCCCGAATTACAACGACATGGCTGTTTAGTGTTATATCTATTCCATGTACCCGGATCGTATCATCATGCCCCAAATCCGTGCGATCTATAAAGCCTTCTTTCTTCTATCACTTCTTTCCCATTAGACAGATACAGTTGGCGTTTTGTTCTGTTAACGCCATTGCCTTCATTGCCTGCTTATACAATCCAGCAAATAACTCAGTACGACAGGGACATACAGTGGGACAGTTATTAAATCGGTGCGTAAGAAGGATATAAAGTGTTATACAGGACGTTCTATTCATACAAATCTGTTTCATACCGAACATCAATTAGTAATATCAGTATAATCAACATGCTTTAATCTAAAACGATTGAAACAATGCATACCTTCTGCGGCGTCTACGTAGAACAACGACTCCTACAACAACCCCGATGGCGACGACGGCCGCCACTATTCCCCCAACTACAGCGCCGACTATGGACGTCGCTGCAGGTACAACATGAGAATAAAGAAATATCACATAATGGACTTTAGGGCATGTGACGTGTGCTGACAAATATGTATACCATGGATAACTTTGGCGTCCAGTGAGTTTCTTTTGTCAGAATATTTTAAATATGTTGAGGTGTCTTATTCACACATTCTTGCCATTGATGGGGATGCTTTAAACTGTTCATTTCGCTGTCAAAGTAAGAGTGAGTGAGTTTAGTTTTACGCCTCATTCGGCAATATCCCAGCTATATGGCGGCGGTCTGTAAACAATCGAGTTTGGACCAGACAATCCATTGATCAACCGCATGAGCATCGTTCTACGCAAATGGGATACGATGACGTGTCAACGAAGTCAGCGAGGTTCACTACCCAATCCCGTTAGTCGCCTCTTACGACAAGCATGTGTTACTGAAGATCAATTCTTAACCAGATCTTCACAGGTGAAATTGATTAAATGACTTAAAGTAAGACAATGATTGTTTTTACTTGTTGACTTAAACTCCGAAGTGTGTATTTCTTGGAATCAAAACACACAAAAGTTACGGACAATGTGTTGATGCAAATACATATATCGACGATTCATATATTCAATGTAGGGAAGTGTATGTTACATTGATATTACATCACTTTAATACTTCACATGAATGTCAACGTACGTTTTGTCTTGAAGTTACCGAACGGGTCAGTGGATGTACATCCTGCCGTGGTACATGACACAGCCACAACCCTGGAATAGATATACATAAGCCTTACTCACGCAAAGCACACCTGTTTTATGGGATATATTGTAAAAGCAGATTGTTAGTGTATATGCTCTGAAAACCGAATTTCGCGTATTAAAGTGGAAACTGTAACATAAGGGCCGCCTTATAGCTGGAATATTGCAGAGTGCGGCGTAAGCTCGCTCGCTCACTCACTCACTCACTCATTCACTTAACATAAGGCCTAAATCGTCGGTTCATATTTAGATCCAAGCATAGAAATGCAGAGTGGCAGAAAATTGAGAGGAAGGACTTCCACTTTTCAACTATCAATTTACAAGTTTCCATTTATGTAAGGCAATATTCTTCCACCCCCCAACCTTTTGGATTCGACATTTCATTACTTTTGATGTACAGCTTGGCATGCCCTTCTTATGAAGACTTCCAGGATCGCTGTATATATGCGTCTTGCTCTTAAAGTTCGGTCAAGATTACAATATTCGAAGCCCATGTAATGTTTTGAAATGGTGTCTTGTAGATATGTCAATGGCATTTCCAGTTTGCTACCTCAACATCAGAACTGATTTCTGTGTTCTCTATTTTCCCATGCACCACACATGCTTTCATGTATTTGTTTTAAAGTTGTCTGTTTGTTTTCCTGGTCAGAAGAATTCTTTTTCATAGTTCAAAGGGAACAGGATAACAAAGAACGAAGTCATTTTGCAACCTCTACGCTAAAACCTTTGATAAAACAATGCAATATAAAGAGTTAGAGATAAAGGTTAAAGTATTTGGCTTATCACGCCGAACACGTTTTGATTCCCCAGGAACATTGTGTGAAACTCATTTTAGTGGCATCGTGAAATACAAAAGGCCTTGAATAGGCCTCATTCAGTCATTCTTAAAACGGTATACGTTTTACATAATGCTCAGTATACTCCTTTGTTAAAGAAAGAAACGAATCTTACATATATGCAGTGTCTGGTTCCAAGGGCCCATTACAGAACTGGTCTTTTTCACTGTCGCAGTTTTCATCAACACCAACCGGATAAGAAGTAAGACTCTCTCCTGAAGTCAGAAATCGATGAGCCAAGTATGTAACTGTTTCGTTCATTAAACTTTCTTACTCATCATTTGTAAATAGCCATAAAGAGGGAATATTGTGATACTTTATGTTACCTGAAGCACTCCTCCTTCTCCTAGCTTGAAGCAGGTAGTGTTCTGGAGTTGGGCGGTAAGAACCCTTATACCCACTGTTCTTCCACTTATACCAGTTCTTCCATGTGTCCCAGTCAGTCCTATTTTCAGGGTCCACTGGTGGTGTTTCTATATGCACATAACGAGTTTTAGTTTGGAGTTATTGTTAAACTGTGTTCTTTAAACAATGGGCGACCATGATTTCGTCCAACGACATATTCCTGCAAAATACAAACTCTCTATTTCTATTATCTTTTGACAATGTAAGCTAATAATATAACGTCAGTTGAAAAAATACCCAGACAAACAAATTCCAATAGCTGTGAAAATTATATGAATGGACGACTGAAACTTAGTGACGACACCAGGTCTTCGTAAAAATTGTAAAAAGGACACGCCATTCTTTATGTCATTCATGCTAATACTTGTCTTTCTTTCCATGGATTCAGAAATACGCACACCCTATACTGAGGTTATGCTATTTCCCACTGGGTGTCATAATGTAGAAGCGGATCAGCTTATACACAAGGATCACTCCACGACATGAGTTGAACAGATCTTTTCGCTTACCACTCTTCTTCATAACAAGAATTCCTGCTTCAATTACTTTCCCATTTGTACCATCGAGAAGCGTCTTTGAATGAAAAGAGATGACAAAGGATGTATCGGTGGCAGCGTCTGTACTTTGTGTTGCCGTGGTGATGAATACTTCCGTTGAATCTTTTTTTCAGGGGTTCTGTGAACGAAAACGTTCAAAAATAATAATACGTTGGGCATTGAAAATGATACATATAATATTATTTCATTTTTTCACTTTATATAGTCTGAATTTCTGTTATATTAAAGGTCACATGCAACGTAAAACACAACTTTGCAGATTCTGATACCTTTCGGTATGGACATACCGAAACAAATCGTCAAAAATGCAAATTCAACTTATAAAGTTGAAACATAACGCGATGAAAAAAACCGCGCGAAATCGGAGTTCAAACGTTTCACTAATTTTCCCCCGACTTTTCTGGGGAAAACGGGTTTCAACAGCTGGGCTGCGCTCATAGCACGTGCGCAAGTAAATAGGTTCGCGCAGCTTGGAAGCGGGTTGTCGGGTGAATACTCGGTGAAGGCTTTGGTGTGAGCTATTTTTCTAATGTTTTTTTGATATCTCACAGGCGCGAGCTTTTTATATGTTATGACAGTAAATTAACTGTTTATATAATTTCATTTGTCTATTTCACCACACGTTCTTCTTACCGAGACACTTTCTCAGTTCGATACTTAAAAGCAATGTCATTATTTAGCGTTGACACAATTTCTAACTGTGATATAGATATGTAGTTGTCACAGACAAAACTCAATGTCTTGTTTTATTGACACCTGTGTGTCTGCCTGCCTGTCTGCTAATGACAATATTCAATACACAACTGCGATCACTGACCACATGCAATTTGAACTTAACACCAATCAGGCTATACACCATAAACAAAACGCATTGATTTATGGCCCGAGTTCGGTCACTGTCACATTATGTAATTACACAGACAGGCAGGTGTGATACTTTTACACATGACATGTTATGATGTCTGTTGATTGCAAAATGTTATACACAAAAAATGAGCATGTATTTACAAAACCAAACATCTCTATATATACACACACAATGAGCCATGAAGGCGGCATCTGCTAATGAACCAGCCGTTACACTTGAGTGCACACCCACCCGCTCTGACTGGGTTCGGTATCCCGGCTGCTTCGTTTCGAGGGAGGTAAACCCAAGTACACAATATTGCACTTTTGATTTGCGATTGTACGCTTTTAATTTTGTTTATTTGTTTTTTCATAATCAGCAATGCATATTATATGTCATGAAGAAATGATAATTGTGTTTTAATTATGTTTGATTTTTTGGTTGCATGTGACCTTTAACACACAATGTATTGCCTGCAATACGGCGCATTCCTGTAATATGTTACTTCATTTCGTTTTCAGGCTGAAAAAGTTTTAATGCAAGCAACTCTAAAAAAATACTAAATGTTTTAATAATAAGTACTCACTTCCAGCAGTGGCATGGAACGCCTTTGATTGTTTCGGCTTGCCTCTGTACATCGCATTAGCGGAAACCTTTTTATTTTAAAAATGAGAATTTTACTAAAATGCTAAAATGCATAGTATGGAATTCGGGAAACAGAACCAAACGGCTTCAAATTCTAATGTTAACAAAACTACAGTTAATTACAGTGACGTTGTATGTGTGCAAATGTCAACTGGAGGCAGCATACTTGTATGTCCATAGGATTTAGTTTTAGCGTGTGATAACTGCCACCTAGTGAGATAACCGTTCGACAGGAACATGTTTATGCTCAGATTCCATACCTGTCAGGCCCGGTTAGGGCCATTCGAATAAGGATTTGACCAGTACCAGAAAGCCTATTTAACTTAAGGCCTTTCCAAACTAACACTCTACTCACTGCATCAAACACATAAAAGATTCACCAAACAAGCTCCTTGAAGATAAACATTCATTGCCTGTGAATCCCATTTCCTACTACGAGAGGCACTGGACATACCATGCAGTCACACGTTGTGTGATTCTTTTACACAACATCTCAGTTTTACTTCGTGACATAAACGACGACAAAAAACTCAGTCTGTTTGCAGTTGTTGATCTACGAGTACGTTTATGTGGAGATAACATGCGGCCGTGATTTGGTGGACTGATGTCATTGCGAAGCTCGAAGTCAATATTAACATTTTAATTAGAATTTAGTTAGTCACAACTCAATTGCTGAATTTAGAAGTACTCTTCCTGAATTAGGATTATGCTCCCACCAGCCAGGAACTGAGTCTTGAACATAAACGACAAAATTCAGAGGGACGAATATGTCGATCAGTATATCTATGTATGATCAGTAGTCTTATTAGTTCAGGAGGAGAATCTCAAAAGGGGCCTAGAAATAGGATTTCGTAGCCTCCCCAGTACTGATTTTGTTTGACCAAACGAAATGTGACGAAAATGCTCGCAGAACCCCGCCACATACAATGGCCTGTAAAAAACTGATACCACAATCTGAGAGTATTACAGGCCTTTTCTTGAGCCCAAGACATCATACTAACTGAAATAGCGTCAAACAAAATCAGTACTGGGGAGGCTACGATTTCAAAGTTTTCAGCTGCCTCCTCCTGGACTAAATCAAGGATGGGTGTTATTCGTACGGTCAAAAACACTTTCCGCGATCAGAAAGGCTGACATGCCATGAGACCACTTGTTTCATGTCATGGTGTAGACCTAGTCCCACCCCATTGAAACTCTTTGTACACAGTGAAAATAATGGTGCCTCTAGATATATTCATTAATGCGTGCCAACTATAAAATGGTGTTGATCCCTTAATGTGTAACGTCCTCTTCATCGAGGAATGGATTGATCACGTAAACTGTTTTGTTAAATTAATACTTACCGTGAATGTGTAGTCGTGTTCTGGTCGTACTGGTAAGATGGCAGTATGTACCTTGTCACATGGATCCTCAGGTTCATAATGGCCATAAACCATAGATACTGCTACCTGGAAATCAACGTTGTAAGTTTTTCTTCGGATTAAGGTTAGTGTTACAGCTTTGTTGATGTAAAACCAATGTAATTTTCCACACATGAGTAACACAGGCCCTGAGTGTGGTTTTACGCCGCTTTTAGCAATATTCCAGCAATATCACGGCTGGGGACATGGGCTTCACACATTGTGCCCATGTGGGGATTCGAACCCGGGACTTCGGCGTGACGAGCGGACGCTTTAACCACCAGGCTACCCCACCGCCCCGCAAAGACAAGAGGGCCTG